TATCATATGCAATTGAATAAGTAGACCATTTCGGAATTCGAAATTTGGGACTCTCTCAATGTATAATGGGACTCATACTTTTCTGATCAGTGAGTCCCTGGGACTCGCTGCAGGTAAACTGTAAAATGATCACTAAGAGATTACCGCTTTTTCTGCAGTCAGTGATTGACTTCTATGCAAAGTCATTTCTCAACTTGTGTTCCGTGCCATGTCATGCCTGTTGAGTGTTGATTTACTTCATATTAAGAAACTACTGCACTAAAACATTAATTCATAAATGTATATCATATGATTTTATTTCTTTTTCTCAGTATAAATAACACGTACCCTGACTGTTCTACTCTTTGAATAAAATCACTTCATTCAAGCGTTAGGGAGTGCAAAGGGTTATGATGGAGGGGTGTTGCAAATCATGAACACCTGCCAAGTGGTATGATAGCATTGTTTTATACATGTCCTCGGCTAGGCCTCAATTTCAAAATCAGTCCTTGGTCCTTGGCCTTGGCCTTGGAGGCAAGTCCTTGGTCCTTGGCCTTGGCCTCGGAAAATTTTTCAAGTCCTTGGCCTTGGCCTTGCCTCGGAAAATTTTCCAAGTCCTTGGCCTTGGCCTCGGAGGCAAGTCCTTGGCCTTGGCCTTGGCCTCGGGTTGCCGGTCCTTGGACACATCCCTGATATATGTACAGCAACATGTCAACTGTGTGAACTTGCTTCCCAGAAGCCAGTTAACATGATCGACCATCAGATTACTTTGCGCCTCTCCGACCATCACATTACTTTGCGCCATCCCAACCGCCAGGGCTCCTTTTTTGAGGTACCAGCTGTACCTTCAGCATTATATCAACTTCTAGCTCGGTAGAAAAGTTTGCTGCTTCAATGTTTGTCGATCTTTTACTAACATGTTGCCATTATAAACTGAAATATAATTGCAAACATTTCATAAGTGGCAAAGGATTTTACAGACAATTACAGTAAATTTATGCAAAGAGTCAATATTTGAAGTGCTGACCACTTCTTTTTCAAGACATCTGCAATTCGCCCTCGCATGCTTTCAATTAATTTCTAGGCCACATCCTGACTGTTGGCAACTCAGTCTTGCATAATCAAAGCTCGGAGTTTGTCAGAATTTGTGAGATTCTGTTTGTTGACTTGTCTCTTGGAGGATAGATCACAAATTCTGTGATTAAGAACTGGGGAATTTCCTGGGCCTGGAGTCAAAATGTCGATGTTTTGTAATAAATAAACTAAAATACAGCAAATAAGAAAAACCTATGAAACCACATATAGTTGAGTAGAGAATTTCAATATCTATCATAAATATTGTTTTGTAGAGTTGAGCAAACTTCAGCTGGTTAAAGGTTAGTGTATTTTAACCGGCTCTCAATATCGGCCCGATTTGGCTGTATCGGACCGTCAAAAGTGGTTTTATTTTTTTTCCCATATCAGGCTGATAATTATCGGTCCGACGAAGATTGTGTATCCCTAGTTCAAACCACTTTGCAGAACATTTGAACGACTTGGCCCAGTCAAAATTATTTACTACACTTTGACAGTTCAACACTTCTGAAGGTTAAAGGTATCAACCATGGTTGAGCAAGTTTTGAAATTATCTAATTTGGTCACATTTGAACAGAGGTGTGTAGAATTTATATCCACTGCATGTTGTATTAGAGGGGTGTACTATAGTACATTGAATGCAGTATAATGTATTGATGCTGCATTAGACGTGTATACTGAAAGTGACAATGATGTTAAGATGCACTTGAATCCCTTTCAGACAACGAATCAAAGGTATGTTCTACCATGCCTACAACAGTTACTTGGACAATGCCTTCCCCTATGATGAGCTTCGCCCCCTGACGTGTGATGGTCAGGACACTTGGGGCAGGTGAGGTTCAAGGTTTCCTTCCAAGTGGCAGTTATTTTAAATCACCATCCTCTTCCCCTCTTCTTTTTTTTCTTCAGTTTCTCGCTGACGCTCATTGACGCGCTTGATACCTTGCTGGTGAGATTGGAAATGGCTTTGCTGTTGTGCGGAATCCTGTGACTGTGTTCATTGTCATCTGATAAAGGCAACCTTGTGTGTCAAGGTGCTGGGAAACCAAACTGAGTTTCAGCGTGTGGCATCACTTCTCCAAGACACAGTTGACTTTGACATTGACATCAATGCTTCCGTCTTTGAGACCAACATCAGAGGTTTGTACAAGGCTGCGTTCACACTGTAGGGCGTGATGCCCAATTCAGAATTTTTGTGAAATTTGATCTTTTTATGTACTCATAACGTGAACGCAACATGTCTGTGATGCGACAAGCAAGTGCCCAAAGCACGACATCAAGTGACGTGCACCCAAAAAAAGACGTCATTTGGCGCAGTGTTTATGGAAGTAAATATGGTCCTGCATGCCAGGGGCTCCTTTTAGGCCAAACAAAAAAGATAGTGTGTTTCCGGTAACAAGAAATTTCAGCATAGGGTCGGTAGGTCGGACAAAGTTTTTTTTTCCCCATCAAAAATTTAAACAAAATACCCATAAAACATAAAACAAGAAGACATTGAACCTGCCGCTCCGCGGCCGGCGCCGCCGCCACCTATTTAGTTTTTTCCCGCTTCGGACTCGGGGGCCGGGGCGCGCCGTCCTCCTCCGCCGTCCTCCTCCGCCCTCAGTTTTTACTCGGCCTGTGGTGTTCATCAAATAGTTCGCTTTATTTTTTCGATACATCAATGGATGCTATTTTCTTAACATTACGGTGCGAGCACGCGACTGTAACACAGAAAATGCGGTTTAAACTGTCGTCGGAGATCGCGGCCGCCGCCATGTTTCAATGTTGTTGACAGACGACAGGGCAAACGACGCATGCGCTCAACGTGAATATCGTGAGAGTTTGCACCGATGTAAACCCTCTACACAAAAATGTAGAGGGTTGTTTGAAAAAAATGCCGACCGTAAAGTTTTTTTTTGACGTAGAAATTCTCGGTCGGTCGGGTTACCGGAAACACTACTTTTTTTTCTACGCTTTACCATGCATATTGCCAGAGTAGTGAGGTAGGAGGAGGAATTAATATTTTTGAGGATATGAAGCAACACCTCCTCCCTCTCCTCATTTCAAGGTGACGTCAACGAAAGATGACGTGGTGTCATTGCCACACAGAATGAATCAACCATCTTGGCTGAATTACGACTATCACAACAAATGTCCACTTTTTGTTTCATGTTTGAAGTGGTATTAAATTCAAGTCATAAATGTAAAGACAACTTCTACTCAAAACAGGTTTGCAGATTCCGGATGATGTCAGTAATGCCTCGAGAACTCTCTCGCCTGCCCATGCGGAGCGCATATTGGGCTTTCAATGACGTTTTACCCACGATGCTAAGTTTCTGGCGGCATTTCGTGGGCAGGCACATGGAAAACAAACAAGAATCCTTATCCATCATAAGTGCTGTCAGTCTTTAGTCCCCTTCTGTTTAGTTTTGAGAAAAGGGTCACTATTTGGACACCCATCTATTAAATTGACATCATGGAACCAATCGTTTGGAGTTGGCATGTCGAAAATCTGAAGTTGGTTGGCGGGAAATATCTGTATGTACTTCTAAAACCAAACTTGCCAAATGAAGCCAGTTTGTCCCCCCAAAGTGAGCTATCACAACAATGTCATGAAGAGTGCCTTCATTTGGGAAAACGTTTGTGTGTCGAAAGCATGGATTCTTTGAATAACTTTGCGTCCAAGACGGTGAAACATGTTTTCCACATTCAACACAAACATCTTGGTTTCACAAGAGAAAAAATATCTTGCTTTTGGTTGACACAGTAGATCGATCACTACTCTAATGCTGTAAAACGTTTTAATATCGTCTTCATTAGTCCATGAAAATGCATGCTGATTTAATCCCGCTTATTGTTTATTAAACAGAGATGAAAGTCCTCCGGATTTTCCCGGAATTCCGGGTTTTTCAAATTTTTATGAAAATTTCTCTGGAGAATTGAGGAAAATAAAATAAATAATAAAATTAATCCGGATATTAGTTGACAACATTGAACGAAGACGCGTTTGAGTTCGTTGTATTGCTTTCACGAGCGTAGCCATATTGAGGCACTAACACTAGTAACGGTAAAGAGATTTTTGTTTGTGTAATAACGACAGAAGACATGATGGCGTTTGACTAATGGTTTAGTACAGGGGTGTCAAACATACGGCCCGCGGGCCGGATCCGGCCCGCAAAGGAGTATAATCCGGCCCGCGAGGTGATTATGTAAAGCAGGGGTGTCAAACATACGGCACGCAAGGAGGTTCAATCAGGCCCGCAGGATCATTTAAAAGTGAAAAAAATGCATAAAAGACAGAATTAATATTTTTAATAAGGTGCAATTCATTGAGTATCCGCAAGGGGACACTGTTTTGATCAGAGAAGAAGACAACAGCAGCCTCAGTCCGTCACTGAGACAGACCCATGACAGCAGACGCTATCAATAGCACTCTCACATTTACACATTTAATAGCACTCTCCTTAGTTTCAAAGGTGTAGGCAAGGATTACATTTAGATTTTACATGCAAGTGTAAATGGTTTAAAACTTCCTTTTTTTATAAATCTCGTTTAATCTTAAAGTGCATTACTATATTTTTCAATACCAATTACTTGTTAAAGTTTGTACAATCAGTGGGATCAGTTGCAATGCATATATGTGAATGATAAAAGTAAATTGCACATTTGTCGAAGGAAATGTAAGGTACTTCCTGAAATGTTTTGTAAAAGATATGTTCATTAAATTTCAACATTTTCCTAATGTTCTTGTGCTTCTTTATACCAAAACAAAGGAAAGACATTGTTTTGGTTATTTATAGCAAAGTATGGTATCATTTTAATGGTCCGGGTTATACCATCTCAACTAGAACGTGGGGGATAGTCCCCAAACAATTTTCGTCTCTTTATAAACACACCTGCTAAACCCCAGTGGAACGAATAAAAGAGGCCGTCAACAAGACAGTTGTAGTAAAAAATATATTTGGCCAAAAAGGGAAAAACACAGATTGGCAGAAAATCGTGTCCGTCCGACTTCGAGTGTCATCTCGGCTAACTTAGCTTAGCTGTTGTCGTGTGTGACGTCATTTGCGTCGACGCTGATTGGTTGAAATCAAAAGACGCGCTTGCGTACATGTTCGCGCTGAAGCACGCACAGCAGAGAGCAGCGGACTATCTACTGCTGAGGCTCGCTTAGCTTGAGTGGCGTCGCCACAACAGTAATACCCTTGCCTCGCATTCTCATGGCCTCGCCATATCTTGGAGATTTCAAAATTTCGGCCCGAACGGAAGCCACAAAGGGTACACGTGTGAACACAAAAGGAAGATTAATTGGACAAGTAGCAACAGGTGGTGTGACAAAGGGGCCACCAGGGGTGTCAGTGAACACGTTTTTCTCATTGTCCGCCCCTCAGTGGTGGGGGGTCTGCTGTCTGCCCACTTGCTCTCAGGCCGAGCCGGAGTGGAGCTGGAGCCCGGGTGGCCATGTTCCGGACCACTCCTGAGGATGGCTGAGGATGCTGCTAGAAAACTGCTACTCCCTCTCTCTCTCTCTCTCTCTCTCTCTCTCTCTCTCTCTCTCTCTCTCTCTCTCTCACACACACACACGTTTGAAGTCTCTGTTTTTAGTCGAACAACAGAGCATTTGGAAGGTTAACAAAGATCTTAAAAACTACAAACCCATATAGCCACATTGTCTGCACATTTCCAGCGTTCGAGACTCCCACTGGAATGCCATATGGCACGGTCAACCTGCTGCGGGGCGTCAGTGCCACAGAGACATCCGTCACCTGCACCGCTGGCGTGGGAACCTTCATCCTGGAATTTGCCACACTGAGTCGACTGACGGGCAATGCCACATATGAGGACACTGCACGCCGGGCACTGAGGGCTCTGTGGAAGACCAGGTCGGACATCGGACTGGTAAATGTAACGCGTGTCGGCAGAATCAGTGACGTAAATAGAGTGATTTAGTAGTGTGAGATGACAAGGGAGAGAATATAAACCTGGGGTGCCCAACCAAGTCGATCACGATCGACTGGTAGCCCGCGAACTGGTCTCAAGTCGATGTATCTTTTTTATTTTTATTATTCTCATTCAAAGTTTGCAGGGATGAGATTTTTCCGCTTTTTGGCGGAATTCCGCTTTTTTCCAGTCAAAATGGACCTATTTTATATTGTTCCAAAACCGTAAAGAATGCCTAATATTGCATAATCTTTCAAGGCTTGCTCTTCTTGTGTCCGATCCTCTCTCACCTCTGTATTTGCTTTCACACACCATGTACAATAGTTCTAGCCAATCAGTCTGGCTTTTCCCCACAGCTCTTAACAAGTCCTGGCAGAACTGCTAACAGAGGGCTTAGTCAGCAGGAAATTACCATTCAACACGGACAGCAACACTCTGCCACTGTACTGTGATATAAAACAACACAACAGCTGTAGAAGCCGGTGGGATGGGTAGAGAGGAATCAAGTGCGTCAGATAGATGCGGATCTGAAAAACACGTTTTGATGGGACTCGTTGGATAGAAAGCTGACGGTGTCCCCAGTAGGAAACAGTAAAGAGGAACCATTGTGCTTGTGTCGGATTTCGTGAAAAAGCTTGATGTCGCCGTAAAGCTCTGTGTGCAGTGTGTGACGAAGTCATTCTATACGGCTCGAGAGGATGGAAAGCTTTTCAGAGTCACGCAACCTCGGTGAAACACCAAAAACAGACATTTCTACTGAAAAGTAACTACTCGATCTCAAGCGCTTTTCGACAGCCTGGAGCATGTGTAAAAACAAGAGGAGTTGGCTAAAAAGAGAGTGGAAAAAGACGGAGAGGACCAATAAGCTTTTAGCGCTTCCTAAAAAGCTTAAAATGAAGTGAAAATAAAGTATAGTACCTCATGAAACTGTATATTGTTGTATATACTGTAAATAGACATCCACTTTATATAATAAAATACATTCATAACCCTATATAGTAAACAGTGTGGGACTTCACTATCACTGCATGAGGTAAGAATCAACAGCTTTTTATCACATTTCCACAACACTTCACTTTATGAAGTAAAGTGAAGCACTTATGAAGACAAGTAATGAACAAATCTTAAATATGGCAGGGAATGTGTTTCCTTTTTTAATTTTGATTTTGAGCAGCAAATTTGAAGTTACATGTTGTGCTCACCAGGAATGCATAAGCAAAATTGCACAAATTTTCACTTGAAAGAATAGTGAACAATCTTGGGATTTTTTTTCTGTTAAAGTTTCAAATAGTGTGTAAATTGAATACACTTCATCTTCAGCATGTTTAGTGCCACTTTTGTAAGTGGCCCCGCCCCTGTCCCGGCCACGCCCCCTTCCGCTTTTTTCATCACTAGCCACTCTCATCCCTGGTTTGTTTCATGTACAATTCACCGATGGCACTGGCAAAGAATGGGAATTTGGAGCGCCATGAGAAGCATTTAAAAACGGTACACGTGAGCTACGATAGTGACGTTGTTGCACTGAAGACGTGCATCCCATGCCACCACGTCAGATCTCGACTCAGGTAGGCACTGATTCCTTTTTACAAACTCACAAGCTCTTGTATGAACTTTATTTTTCTGTTTCGTTTATGTTCGGCACCGTTATGGCAATTGCTCATCATGGCATGCGTATGTGTATGCGTGCATGTGTGGTCGCGGGTCGATCGCGGGAGGTCTCTTGCTTGAAAAGTCGATCTTCGGTCAAAAAAGGTTGGGCACCCCTGATATAAACGTTTCTCTGTCGCGCAGTCATTACACTGCAACGTGTCTCGTTACGCCCCTTGAGTACCCAAACAATGTGCTTGCTACCAAAATGCAAGGTGTGACTCTATTATTCGTGGAGCTCTTAAATTCTGATTATCATACGTTTGTACAAAATCACAGAAGAAGGACATTTTCAGAGTTTGCTTTTGATGATGCTGTATCAGTTTTGAGTTAAGATATGGATACGTTCTCAGTTTGAGCAGCTCCTGATCGTGGACCTCTAGGATCTGAAATTTCTTTGCATGAAATTAGAAATTGTTGTGCTTTAGGGTCTAAATGTGTAATGCATGTGTTGTTCCATGTTTCTGACCATGAGAAATTTCTGATGAGCAATGTTGCGTGTAATTTTCAATGCGTCTGAGCATTCACACAAACTTCCCTGAGCATACCGTGGAGCACGGTGAGCAACATGCACACAGCGGCCAAACCAATATCACACCTGTCCAAAAGCTGGGATCATAACAAGTTACGCGATGTAGGAAAGGAATATTTGGCTTTTGGGTGAAAATTCAGGCCCAGCCGAAAATACATTCAAACCTTTCCTTTACCACCAAATAAAACGGCTGCACTTGTCTCCAACAAAACCAGACACCCATCGTTTCCAGTGCCATTTTCCCAGAGGATGTCATGAAAAACTCGTAACAGGGCTGACTCTGTGCTATGCCTCATTTTAAAACCTGACTGGAAGATGTCCATGATGTCAGGTTCATCCAAGAAAGATTTTAACTCGCAAATGAATGAAGAGCCAGTTTGGATCGGCTAAAAACCTGATTTTGTACAACAGTCTGCACCAGGCAACATTCACACTGCAACTCAATTTCATTTTTTTTCCCCCATTTGCGACCGATCTCAGGTTTTTTTCATGCCTCGTCAAAAGTACAATAGATTTTTTTCCCAAAATTCAATATATTTTTTCACACTAAATAGTCCGAGATCTTAATGCGGCGGTGCATCATGATAAGTTCGGTGGTCACATAATGTGCGATGAGGCCAAAGTAGTGAGTTTGCTGTCCGAATCACCAAACATTGTGTGGGAATTACAGTAGTACTGTACCGGTATATAGTACAAGGCTTTTTAGTGAGTGAAGGGTTAGGGCGTAAGGGTGGTTATTCAAACACAGCCTATTTACCTCCTCCTACCTCGCTTCTCTCGCGGAGATAGTCGCACCGGGATCACCCCGGGGAACCAACCGGCGGATTGGTGGGCCCGGCTGCGGCGACATTGGCAGCGGGATCCACCCCGGATAGCAAACCGGCGGATTGGCGAGCCCGGCGGCGGCGGCGGTGAGATTTGCAGCGGGATCACCCCGGGGAACCGACCGGCGGATTGGTGGGCCTGGCGGCT